TCCTTCACAATCTTTAGTAACACCACGTATCAAACTGGTGTATTAACAAGTGAAACAAAAGATAAAACTAATAGTAAAGACTAATAATAAAATTGTTATATAATGTTAATGTTAAATAGTATGAGAATTAAGAAAATAGTTTAACATTACTTGTTGTTAAAATAAATGACTATATTTATTTCTATTTAGATGTTGGATGTTTTCAAAAAAAAGTCCATTCCAAAAAATAAATAATTTAAATTGAATTGAATATTTTAATTTGTGGAGATATTATGATTTATCAATATGATTATACAATTAAATATTACACTTCATATTTCTTTGGATTAACTGATAATTGTAAATAATAAAAACAGAAATAAAATAAGAAATAGAACCAATAATAGAGTCTGCTTTAAATATCACTTGGGCTTCATAAATGTAACTGATTATGTAATTTGTTAAGTGTTTGCGTATGGATTTGAGGAGCGAGCACCACTTTGGTGGCCCAGCACCAAAAGAATCATCGAGTCTGATCTTTAGAGGGAACAGGGAGAAATAAAGCGAGTGGGAGAGAAACAGAGAAAGAGACAAAGATGGAGGGGGAGAGATAGAGAGTCGGGACAAACGTGCGCTGTGTTACTGGGCCACTCCAGCGCCCATGGACTCTCAGCAAGACTCAAAGCCACGCTCAGCTTCAAAAGGGAGCCATGAAGATTTTTTTTATGTTTACAAAAACATATTTATTTATTTCTCGTCACTCTGTCATTTATCTATTTATTTCTTGCTGTCCCAGCACCCCTTGCTCTGCCACTGAAATCATGTTCGATGACGCCGGCGTGCTCGCCCTCCCCTCTTTTTCCCCCTCTCTTTTAATACCACTGCAGTTCAAAATCAAACTGCTCTAAAACAAACTGATGTACTCTTTAATATAGTCGTCACATCATCACAGGGTCCTCACGCGTCTGCCTTGGTGACAACTGCAGGGCTGCTTAGCTTAGCCCAGCGATGGCTGCCACTTTGTTGGTCGCTTCAATGATTTATCACAAAAAAGAGAGGGAGATTGTGAGAGTGGGAAGGGAGAGAAAAGGGGAGACACAGAAAGAAAAGTCCCCTGGATCATGATTGAGTCACTGGCACCTTTGATTGACAAGGTCTAATCAGCTTATCTCCATCCTAATAAAGTTGATAGCCTGCGGTGCTGCTCTCTACCTGGCATGGTGTGAACTTTGGGCTAGGCTGGGGCCCCTGGGGGCCGGGCCCCGACCCTCTCTGCTTATCTAAACGGGACTGAAATCAATCCCTAATGAGCTGTTTTCATTTTGCAGGATTGATTACAGGCCCCTAAACACCAAGAACACTTGCCTAAGAAGTGTTCTCAGCCTCTTGCTGGCCACCTTTAAAATGCAGAGTAGCAGTGCTTTTGTCTGTGTCTGTCTTTGTTTCAGCAGCTCATTTTGCTGCCATCGCTAAGTTATTTGTGTCAGCTGAACAAATATAAAGGGGGTGAGTTTTCAAAGTAAACTCCACATTTGCCAGTTAATTTACTGAGTCGTACAATTTGTAAATATTGCCACTGAGATGCATTTGTAGCAACTGGTGACTATCATGATTGTAAGAACTAAAAGCCTTTATATTTCATGTAAAAATTAATTCTAAAAAATAAATAAATAAAATAAAATTGTATTTAACCTGTATTAGTCATGTCTCTGCAAACAAACTGTAGTAGTTTCCAGCCCATCTATATCTTTAAGTTTACAATTACTATTAGTGTCCTAAAACAATTGCACATTTACAGTCGCATCAGCAAAAGGCTTCTATGTTGACACAACAAAGCAAATTTAATTTAAAGCAGCTCAGTAATCAGAGTTATGCCAATAAACAACAGTGAATTTTAATTACCATAACTAGAAAATTCAAGATGAGTTTGATGGAACAATTTTTAGCCATGTTTTGTATGAGCTGTCGATCAGTAAGACTCAACTCTCTGCCCTTCAATGAATAATAATCAAAAAGGTGGAATAGCTAATCATTGCAACTTAGATGTCTTATTTGACATGCTAGCTGTTTCTAAACAAGCAATCATAAATCATTCAAAATCTTTTCAACTGTGGAGGGAAGGACTAAAATCTGGCATGTCTTTGATTTAACATCAGTCAAGCCTCCACATTTGGGCATTTCAAATGCCCCTGACTCAAATGTCTTTAAATTGGCTAACTGCATGCCCTCCCTCTTTATTTAGGGCCCTCTTTAACTGGGCTAGCCCCCATGTCTGCTTGTTGCTATGCCTGGGCTTTTAAGTCAGTGCTCCTCACTAATGAAGTTCTATACTTTATTTATGAGACAAACAGAGGACCCTGGTTCTTGAGGGTGTGTGTGGTAAATAGCTCTGCATGTCCAAAGAGTCTCTTCTATATCCCTCTGAGGGCTCTCACTGCTTTTGGCAAGTCTTTGTTTTCACTAAATACACTGGAGACATTGAGAATGGTAGAAAAAAAATGCTAAAATCTGATAAAATGGTACTGTGTGAAGATTCATCTTTTCTTAGAACTAAGAGTCCTCTTTTTTCCCCTTAAATATGACCTAGAAGCATCCTGGTTTTTTTGTTCCTGGTCATTAAGAGATATATTGTCGACACTGAAGAGAAAAGGGGGCAAAGCTGAGTTTCTACGCCATTTCTTTGTTCAGTATCTATCGCTTTGAAATAAAATGTCTTTTAGTTCCACTTCCCCCACTGGTCAATTACAGTTCTTAAGTGCTACTGTGTCATTGTGGATAGAGAATGCAACTTTGAATTACTGCAAAATAATGATGCTAAACTGCTCTTGGTAAAAAGTGCAGCTTAGATGTCTGAGGAGACTTGAGGTTAGTGGCAAGAAAAGTATTAACAGTATGACTAGAGAGCGTATGATTGGAAAACACTTAACACTCTAATTATTCTTGTTTTACGACTATGGATGCCACACCTCTACGTTTGAAAACTCAAAGCTTATTCCTCAACAACTGCCAATGCCATTTTCATAACGTGCATGGATAAAGCATGGTGCACTTCTTTATTTCATTACGTTGTATTTGTTGGTGTGAAAGAGAAGGAACTACACTAAATGAAGCCTTTGTTGGACTATAAAAGTAAACAATTTAGTGTTTCCAAACAGACAAATCCCAGGCCTTGGAGTACTGTATCTCAATACTCTAAGAACTGTGGCAAGACTATGATCTAAAAAGTGGAGGATTTCATGAAGATGTCTGTGAAGTGCTGTGATGAGCCGTTGAGGAACTACAAGAGTAAATATATAGTTTGAGATGGGTGTACAACACTAAATTAAAGACCAAACTGAATTTGGGATCAGATGGCAAACACTGTCAAACCTTATAAACCCAGTGGATAAATATGGCTACCTAATGTTTGTGCCCAGTGCGTCTGTTGAATTTGAGAGCTTGGCATATATAGTAATTAGTCTGGTGGAAGAGTGCATATTCCCTGTGTAACTATGTTCTTTGTGCAGATGTATTCCCGCTTTGACCCAGAGACACTGCCATTTCAGGTTGTGCATCTGAGCGGAGGGTTGGTATCGACAGCAGAGTAAAGGAAGGGGTCATGGATTAAAGACGCAGGGGCGAAGCCTCCCCACCAAACCACAAACACACCCCACAGCTGGTGTGGACCAAGCCAAGTGTGTGGGACCAAGGCAGGATAAACGAGTATTGTTCTTAGCTCGCCGCACACACAGTGGATGAGACAGCCACCAGTGACACAGGGTCAAGGGGCATGTGGCCGACTATGGCGGGAGAAACGGCCGGGCCCAGGAGGTACTGAACACTTTTAAGCCGTGGCCCACTTCTTAAACACCAACCGAGCTGTGAGGCAAAACATCAAAACAAGCCTCTCTAGTGAAAGATACAACTGGGTAGAATTAACAATCTGTCGGCTGTCGCAGAATTTGACACAGTCGAAAAACCCGGATAACGGAAGGATCATCTGAGACATTTGAATCAACATTTTTAAGCAGAGAATGCAGATTGTATTTATGAATTTGTGAATGCAAGTTACAGAGAACATCAAAAGCTGGTGGTCTGCGTGCGAACCTTCCTTGACTTGAATTATTAAATCTGTCGATGTCGCACACGCCAGCCACCCCGCGATTATAGTGTAAATTGACAAACTTTTTCAAAACTACAACGGAAGCCACAGAAAGCTGGTTGATACTTCAAGAATGAGCTTTGATACATCTCTGAGGAATACACTGTGCCTCAATAATGTGGTGACTGTCAGGAAGGAAGACAGGAAGAAAAAAAAATATGCTAACTGGTTAAATCTATTTAAGATCCCAATGAGCTTTTTTCCTATTTTAAGATAAAAACCATCCTTGATAATGAGGAAAAAAAGGAGTTTGTGTGTTTTTTTGGATGGTTTATTTAGAAAGTGATATTATGTTTTTTTCTTCCTTCTGCACCCCTGAATTAAGAACTTCAGGAAGAACGCTGACGTTGTTTATTTTCATAGACCCCCTGTCTGTTTGTGTTTTTAAAAAAAAAAGAAAAAAAAAAACAAGAAAAAAAAAAAACATACCACCACCCACCCATAACACACACATACACAACACACACACACCGCCATAGCGATGCATGAATTTTCTTCGGGAGCAGAGCAAGGAGAAGCGGCGCCCGATCTGTCGCCTGTACACCTCTCTCTCTCTCTCTCTCTCTCTCTCCCTGGCTTGCCTTTGATGTGCTCCCGAAAATGTCATCAGGCGTCAAGGAAAGAGGTTTTTTTTTTTTCGAACCCCCCCCATCAACCCTCTACATCACCCCCCACCACCAAACAGACACAGACACACACACACACACACACCAAGACACACACAAACACACACACACACAAACACACAAACACACATATCCACCTACCTCACATATGAGCAAGACAATTTGCTGTCTCTCACTCATCCTCACCACTATCTTGAACCCCCACCCAACACCACCGCACTCCTTCCCAACCCAATCCAAAACAGAATACGTACCGGTTTCTACTGCTATCTGGTAGCCGGCCTCCAGTCTCCGTGATGACCTTTCCAGCTTCTCTGTGTTGTCCAACAGATGCGCTCTCTGCAACAAATGGAGAAAAAAAAAAAATAAAGCCAGAGAAACAAACACACAAAAAAAAAAATTGATTGAGAGGGCTGGGACCCATTTCAAAGAAACACATCAACACTGTCACCTAAACAGACAGACCACATCCACAGCGACAACATAATACCGCCAGGTTGGCAATAACCTTCATGGATGACAATGTGTTATATGCTGATGGAATATCAAGCATATGCATGTTGAGGCTGACAATGTAAGAGGTGCTGCTGCCTCATCTTGGACATGAAAACAAGAACTACTTTGAGGTTTGTTGCCTCCTTGTATTGTTTCACAGCACAGCCTTCTGCTGCACGCGAGGGAAAAGTTAAGGCGGGGAGGTGCAAATCAAGATAAAATTTTATTTAATTTGAAGCTTTCCCGTCAAAACAAAATCCTGTCGAGGTGATAGCTTCCAAATGGAGAAATTTAAGACAAAATCAACATTTAGTCCCTCAAATGTAGATAGTAAAGCAACAGATGAAGTGTAAGATTTCCTGAATAATAAATAATGAAGCCTTTTCGAACCCATCAATGTCATAAATGTTAATAAAATGAACATCGTTATAGTGTAATAATTATCCCACACAAAACCATTTGATTTCTTTTCTGCTTCCTGTTTCCTGACCACAACAGTTATTCATGATGTATGAGCTGCTGCATCCCCCCATGGCTTACTCACAGCTATCAACAATTGACAAGCCCATCCATTGAAAACATGGAGTTCAGAGAGCAAGGTGTTCAAGAAAAGATGTGTTGCATAAAATATTAAATAAGCAATTTGATCATTTTTTCAAAGTGGATGTTTGAGAGTATAAAGGTGTGAACTAGGGCTCTAATATCATGTGTACACATATCAATTGATAGCAGTTCCTCAGAAACCAAGAGAACCAGAGGTTTTGGTTCCTGCTCTATAGCTAAACAATTCATGTCTGACGAGCAAGGCAAGAAAAGATCTGATCTGTTGACTGATGGCCTTGAGTTCCATCTTGGGGGTCTCAAACATAGACATCTTCCATTATGGTTTCATTTCATTGTGTTCACATATCCAATTACTGCACTACATTACGGACACATACATGTATTATCTGTGGCAAAGAGCAGAGGTGAATGATTTTATATGTTATTAGCTTTTTAAACACTTTGAATCAGTCAGTTCAGTTCTCTCATACCCAAACAAAAATGAATAAAGAGGAACCAATGCTACATGAACACAAAAGCTTAAACTGACACCAATATATGTGGATCTATGGCTGACATTTTGTATTCTCGGTGGAATATGTACTGTTACCTGCACAAGGAGTCTTCAGGAATGAGTGGGATTTTACTGAATTTTGTACACATGTTGTGAGTGATTAGTTGAGGTTACCTGACAATGTCTTGAATGTTTTCCTGTTTGGTTTAAATATAATTCTTTCCACTGTCACCATCGGGGGATCCTGAGTTTCATTTCAACTAACAGCTACAGTTAGTCAATTTGTCACTGAGTACTGGCAACTGTTTTACTGAGGAAACCAGCTGGGAATACCTAGTTTAATTTTTTCAACATTATATTTTTTATGACATTGTACAAAAGAGGCTCACTAACTATAACTGATCTCACTTGCTTCGGTTGAGGTTGCATTAAACTGCATGAAAATGCCAATTGTCTAATTTTTCCCCCACAGTTTTCCCAATGAGGTTGTTATGTTTTGGACATTCATGTCAGATTTTCTTCAAAAGGATGGCACAGGTGCCCATGAACTGTAACTGGTGACTGTTGTGGTGACACTCAAATGTCTGAATTAAGTTTAATTCTGTTATTCTGATTTTGTTTGATTTTAACACTACTCCCAAGATCTAATAAACTAAAGGCTCTTATTAAAAGATTCCGGTGTACTGTATAACAAGTGAGTTAATCATTGAAGGATCTCTTTGATCATTATTTGTTTCAAGTAATGCCTGGATATTAAACTTTATATTAAAGTTCCTTTATTTTATGCACATATTTTATCTAATCATCATGGATGCTTCAAACAGATTTTAAATATTGATTCAACTATTACATTGGTCTGTTTTATAAGACAGCGCCGCTGTGTAATCTCAGTAATGTGTATTGTTAATCTATGTTGGTTGAGTGCAAGGCTTCAGCCACCTATCTAACATATAAACATAGATTCAAACAACATGTACAGCCCCATATTATCCACTGTAGTGACACACTTTTAGTGCAAGTCCAGACTAGGACCCAGCTTTCATTAAATCCATACAGCCTTCAGAGTAGAGGATCATAAACATCATAAACTTGGAAGACTTAAATGTTTACTCGAATGTTGTTGGTTTTGATGGCCTTTCTAATATGCTATGTTAAGAAACCGATCAGATGTAACACATTTGACACTCAAAAACAACCCGATGAATGGCAACCGCCTCTCTGACAAGGGTTTATGCCCATCACATGAGCGAAGGGGACAGGGGGAGAAGTGAAATCTCTAGTTTTGGTTGGGCTGTCAAAACATGTACCAGCTAATCACTCAGAGGAAATGAAAAATGTGGAGGAAAAAAAAAATAAGTCAATGACATGCTTTTCAAAGTTTGACAATAAGAGGGATGGGAAAAGAGCAGGGAGGAGAAAACTCCCTCTGAACTCCTTCCTTTCCCTCGCTTCCTTTTTCTTCACGCCGCTGACAGATGTCATTTAAAATTGCAGAGATACTTTTTAATAGTTAAAGGGAGGGCAGGGGGAGGATGGAGGGATAGGAGAACGGGTGGGTGGATGGGTGGATGGGTGGTAAAACGGGCTAGGAGGAAAGCGACGAGGAGATGGTGAGTGGGATAGGATGCAAGGTGTGGCATGTTTTTGGTGTAGGGTGTGGTAGAGGGTTTCAGGGAGGGGTTACATGGGTGTGGAAGTGGAGATGGTGGCAGTGTGCACGTAGGAGAAAATGGATACCAAGCTTGGTCTATAATGAGCCCCTATGGATCAGCTGAGATGGAGGGGACGTATTGACATGCAATGCTTAAGCTAATACACCTAGACCATGGCTGCAGTGCCTGTGTGTGCCTGGGAGCATGAGGCAGCCAGGGATACTGACAGAGTAGCACACTCCCCGGGTTCTTCAAAGAGCTCAAGTGATTAGTATGTTATCATTACCATTCGAAACGTGATTTTCCTATTCCCTCTCGGCAAAGGTGACACGTCTCGGGGAGACGGCCGGCAGACTCACTGCGATGGAAAGCCACTTCAAAGCTTTCTCCTCCTGAATTTCTCTCTCTCTCCCTCTCTTCTCTCCCTCGTTCTGTCTTCTTTTAGGGCCGGGGGGAGGGGAGGGTGAGTGTGGGTGGGTGGGTGTGTGAAGGTGGGAGGGGGGGTTGCTGGGGGGGTGGGGGGGTGGCACTGGTGGTGTATATGTGTGTGTGATCATTAGAATAATGCGCCCCGAGTTTGACGGTGACAGAACCTGAAGGAAAGGGTGAGAGTTCAGCCACTAAGAATCCAGTAATGGCACACTGTGATGGCCCTAATAATGAAACAATCCAGCCATGAACACAGGATGATACCGAGGAAAATAATGAAAAGGAACATGTACAATTAAAACTAAACATCCTACACTACATAGTCACAGTCAAGGCAGATATAGAGATTACGTCTACAAACTTAATCTAAAGTGAGGTGACTCTTACTCTCCAGGAAAGCAATTTTGCTCCAATATACAAATGTCACACAACAGCTAAGATATGATAAGCAAGTAAGATATCGTTGTCAGCATTTTTGTCAGGGGAAAAGAAAAGTGGCTGCCAGCCCCTACTGTGCTACAACGTCCAATATCAAGGCTTGACCCCTGTGGTTCTGATATAACCATTGGGAACCATTCAGAATAAGGCAAAGACACACATACACGAACACCTATTCAAGCTCAAATACTGGCTTGCAATTCAGCTCTGCCATTAACTGACTAAAGAGAAACTAAGGATCCCGTCAAAATCATATCTGATCGTCTCATGGAGCCTTCTAGCCAAGGATTTAAATACAATATATGATAAATATTGTGCATCTGTGAGTGCACTGGTGCACCCCCCCATCACCACCACCATTTCTGCCTATGCATGTATGCCTTTTCATCTGACACCTACATTTTGAACAAAGATCTTCTTAGGAACCACGAAAATGGTGTTTTTTTGTTGTGCTTTTTTGCGTCAAGAAACACTCTTCAGTTGTAAGTTATTAACAGGGAGCCCCAGAACAATGCAGCTGTAGCTCAAAAGAAATCTCTCCCCTCTTCTTTCGCTCTCCTGCCTTTTTTCAATATCAAACACAGGCGGTTACTATCACCATTTTCCAAAGTTCAGATGATTTCCTTATTATTTCAATAAGGGTGGGGGAGAGTCAAAGTGAATAATGATGACAGCTGTGATTCAGACTGACTGTGTGATCTTCTGTGCCGTTTGTTTGGGACTTGTAAGACGAGGAATTACAAGTGTCAAACAGCTGTGAATATGGGTGCTAAATATTTAAACATGTTTTTCAGTGGAAGAAAAAAAGTATAGTTTTTTAAAAGCAAGGCTTAAGTGTGTATAAGCTGTGCCAGCCTTTGATTCAAATGGAAGGAAGAGTAGAAGGGTAAAAGACTGCAATGGAGACGTGCAGTGGCGAAGAGGGCGCCGAATCAAACCCGATTACACAGATCGGGCCATTCCAAAAAGGGTAGACAGGTGAGGTAACTCAAGATGTCTTCTGACCCTCAGGCTAGGAGGAAATGCACAAAAAAGGTGGGAAGAAAAAGGGGAAACAAAAGTACAGCTAAATAAAAGAAAACAGTGCGATAACATGGCATCTGGGCCAGGTTGGCGTTCTAAATTATGGAAAGGTGTGAATGGTGAGGCTTTGATAGGAATTGAATTACTCAGCTTCTGCAGAAGCCCCCTTGAACATAGTCTCACTGAAAGGCACATTTAACAACATACTGTAAGTGCAGCTGCAAATACAAGTTCAGCCATGCTTCAAAGGACAAGAATATAATGTAACCTGCAGAAACTGACAAAATCTGCCTCAATAGAGGGAAAAACTTTCTCCAAAATATGATCAGCGTGAGTATTAATTAAAATATGACATATATAATGTAATGCTACAACTACTGAGTCCTCAACATTGTAATGGTAAAATGCACGGTTGCTATGTAAGTAGCAAATCGGCTTTATCAGAAATTCTTGCATTTGAGCAAATGTTAATAATATTGCTGAATAGTAAGAAGAACATAAGAACAAATGTTCAAGTTTAAAACCTATACAATATTTACATGCTTTTTATATAACACTTTAAATACCACTACTTGACCTAATAATTTACCCATTTTTAGTGTTGATCAAGCTTTTCACATGGCTTATCTAAGGAGTAGAAGGTACTTGTATAGGACAGTCTTATGGGAGACAATAATGGGCAGGTTGTCAAGGCAGCCCAATAATATATTTGCTACAACTGATTTTTTTAACTGAAAGATGAATTCAATTTGCAAAGTCAGTTTGCATTTAATTATGAGCGGAGCAGGTCAATTCCAAGAAACCACGATTTCACTCTAGCATCAGTGCTTCTTGTTTACCGCCTCAAAGTGAAGAAAACAATATCAACTGTTGCTAATGAAGCTAGACGCAGGACACTTGAAAAGTTATATGAATAATAAAATAATCATTATTGCCAATTAGCTTGGGGTTTTACACAGTCATTCTTAACCAAGCCTTATGACAGTATTTCTAGATTGGTTAGCTGACCAGCTAAGCAGCAAGCTAACTACGACTCTTTTGTCTTCTGCCTGTGTATTGTCGCTAACGTTATCTGCCAAATTACAATAATATTAAGTATTGCTTGTTCATAAATTAACGTGATCTAGAAACTCCCAGCTTCAAGCATGTCATTCAGTCATCACCAACACCAACACTTGAGTTGACCAAGGACTGAGGACGTTTCATTATACTGCATATTGTGTATGGTAGATTACACTGCATGTCATGGAGTGTGGACAGTAAAGTACAATAAAATGTCATGAATTGAGTAGAATAACTGTGGTGATGTTAACGCAATGGTACATGAGAATACAACAGCTACTATTCCACATTCTTATGTTACATATAGCGAAAAACATATACCATTTCACTAATGATAACCTTAATCCAATTCATTACAAAAGGCAGAAAGCAACCCATTTGGCCCCATTCAAGAAAATTAAGGGACAGTAAATCTTACAAGCAGCCATTCCCTCTTGAAACTAAGAAGTTGATCAAGTTCTAAACTGTGTTGTGCTACTCTAAGCCTTGCTTCATTCCTCAATATTCATCTTCAAAAAGGCATATCAGAAATAATATCTTATCTTTACTTTCTGATATTTAAGGTAAGGGAAACTGGAGAAACTGGCCTTCAGTGAATTCATTATCTTTGGCTTGGCCTTTAAGCTGTTCAATCAGACATGTAAAAAAAAAAAAAAAAGTGTCCAAATGAGCAGATTTTAATTTTCTCCAGGAGAGAGGAGGGCAAATGGAAATTTCAGTAGGAAAGCATAATTTAAATTGTTAGAGCAGAGAAGCACTTACCTCTTCACGTAACTTTATCAACTGCATCATGAGAGCAAAAGGGAGAAGAGAGAAAGATGGAGAGAGTGAAGAAGAGATATAAAAAATAAAAAAAAACAGAAACATGGCAGGAAGAAGATCAGTTATATGGCTGGGTACAGAATTAACCTTGACGATTTATCTGTTTGCATGTTTAGCATTTGGAAATCACAAGACAAACACATTAAACGAAGCTAAACACGCCGCTCGGGCTGACTTTTTTGAACAAACAAAGATCAAGTCCTGGCGCTGTCACATTAAACAAGGAGAGGGAATGGATCGCTCAACTTGCAGTATCAACTAACATTATCAAGGAAGTCACATCACAGAAGTTGATATAGCAAGAGAAAAAAAAATGAGTAAAATATAGTCTGCAGTATGTTTAAAATATTTTGTATCTGTCATTTTGCTGAATTCTCTGGAAAAGGATGAAAAGAAATATGTGCCCACTGGAACTGAGTTGGAGAAATGCTGAGCCACTCCATTTGTACCGCTGTTTATCAGTGCTGATATGTTGTCAATATTTCATGTAGCTTATGCTTCTCAGTAAAGGTGCATGCTGTTTAGATTCTGCATGGAGAGTCATGTGAGGTTACCATTGTATATACATACAGTGAGGCTTATTATTGGGACAGCCACAGATCATGAAAAATGAATCTTAGCATAGCTATACATTTTTGATGAAAGAGAATAGTAAAGTGAAGTAAATAAGAAATGCTATTCTTATTCCCTGTCCTGGAAAGTCTTGCATCTCTGATAATGAATCACACATTTGAGGGAGGGCAATAATTTGATTTGCTATTAATTATGCCTCATCACAATTAAAAAGGTTGCTTCCCAGGCTTGTTCTTAAGTGGGGGCTGTAGAGGAGGAAAGGAAAGGCTGGGGCTTATCGTGGGAATGCAACATGTTTGGCTGAAAAAGGGGAAGGACAAATTTCCTCATATGCAAGCCTTTTAAAAGGTGATTTTTTTTTTTTTTTTTTTTTTTTTTTTTTTTTATCCACACTTCTTGGCCAGCATTAAAGGTTAGCAGATCTAAAGGGAGACTTAGGACCACTATTACTTTTGTTGTTTATTTTGAATTTTGTGAGTCTGGAATAATTTTGTATCATATAAAAAGAGTGTTTTTATATCTTGAATTACAAACTTGATTTCCAACTTTAAGGTAAAAAAAAAAAAAGAAAGCTGGGAGAGTCCAAAAATGGTATCTTCATATCAAAATAATTCACTGCTTCAGCTCCTTCTACCAGCACTTATGACCAGAATAAATCAAGAATTAAAATTTAACATTTGAACTTTTTCTGAAATCCTAAACAACAAAATAAAAAACAACAACAGTGTACTGCATGTATTTGTGTCCTCTATTTATATTATACCTCTAATAAACAAACTCAAAGAAATTTGTCATATAATAACGAACCCTGGATGAATACACACTATATAAAAATACACACAAAAATATCAAGTATTTCACATATTACAATCCTGCATTTGTCACAGCATTTCTCATTGTAATTTTAGAAGCACCTCAAAAATAGTTCTTGCATCATTTTTGTTCCCCCCCCCCAAATATAAAATGATTCAGTGCAGTATTGCAAATAAAAAATTATTGTCAATATCTGTAATGTGGGAGGTAAACAAGTATAACTGCATGTTTTTCTAAAGAGCTCTTACCCTTGAAAATGTCGGCAGTAACAAGACGCACTTTAGAGTGGAAACTGTCTTTTCTAACTTAAGTAGCAACTCCCCACTAGAATGCATTATTGAACAGGCCAAAGTTTAAAACTACACTGTGGATGTGGTTATTTAGGGCTTGAACAAACCCAGCAGATCCTGCGATCCCTCACCCCAGCTCTGCCATCAGTCAATGGGTACCAAACAAAACTTGTTCTAGCTCATTTGTGCTGCCTGACTGATTGCAAGTCCTCGTAGAGGATTTGTTAAAACTATACGAGGGGCATGTTGAGCTGTGTTTCTTGTTTCTTCCTGTTTAGCTTTATTTTTCTTTGGCATCCATTCTTTAGTACAGCCAACGATGCTCGCGTTGTTCAAGAGATACAGAGCAGTAAATACAGAATATTGTAAATGTTATAATTACTCCTGCATGAGCGCCTTTCCTTGTGTTTTTGTGATGCCAGCCAGTATTCAAAATTGCACTGCTGCAATTTTTCTGTTATGATAATCAGCAATTTTTTTTTTTTTTTTTTTTTCAAACAAAAGATTTTTCTTATCCAATACGGAATTCGATACAAGTGGTAATCTGCTTCCTTTGTAGCCTGTAAAATCTGGTCCATGCCGGCTCAAACCAGCACAATCTCTTGTGGCCAAGCCTTCTGCTGTGACTGAAATCGAAACTATTCCGTATAGTGTTCGTGTGTGAAAAATGTGTGTGCAGTTGCTGCTTTGTGTGTGGCGTCTGTGTGTGTGTGTGCGTGTGGCATCGAAGTGTGTGTGCGCACCAACATTTGTGCGTGTGTTGCATGCAGAGGAAACAGAAAGAAAAAATGTGCAATGGTAGCCTACCACATTATTAAAAAAACGAGTGATAGTGCCAATTCAGTCTCTGTCCGCATACAGATAACGAATAAATGCCGAACTCTATTAAATCGTCCTTTAGCCATTATCGCAGGGCCAACACGCCATTTTCAGAACTTATGACGGTTCCCTATTTACTTAGCTATAAATCCTTGCCATGTAACCAACAGATTTGTGACTGGTAATGATCTGCTCAGCCAGGGCTATATGAAATGATCCTGACCTCTTTCAGATCGTCAGGAATTAAATTGACCGACTTGCCCCGGCCCCCACCATCTTTTCCCCTCTCCTATCACCGCCGTCTCGTTAGATAAAAAACCCTGAAGTTCCGAGTACTCCACTCACAGCAAGACCAAAACAAGTATTATCTCCAAGTTTTAAAATGAAAATGAGGTAAATACGGCACCTGGGAGAAAAAGGGAAAATGTATATCATCTATTTACTTTGCTTTTGACCCCAGCGTGAACCCTTTCTGTCCTTTTCTGTGTGTGTTTAAGATATATAATTGTAATTTTTATATGTTTCATATCAGACATTATTATTGCTAATTATTACTGAGCTTTTCACATTTAAATAATTTATAGTTAATGTGTTACACATAATAAGGAATTGAGTGCTGGTAATCTTAAAACAAAACAAACACAGGGAAAAATAAAATAAGATGAAAACTGTTATAGAAAAAGTAATATGTCACTTAGTACAGCTTAGATTTTTTTAAGTGCATCATGACCTTAATTCACAGAGAGAAATATGTTTTAATGTAAATATATCTACCTATATATCTATATACCTCTTATGGCGTACAATAAAATTAGGAAAATGCATAACTTGAAATTTTATTAATATTAATTTATTTTTCATAATTTACATTATTATGTTGCTATGAACTGAGAATTTAGAATAAAGCTGCGGACATAGTGGTCTGAGATTTAAATGCCAAATCCAACTATCACTATTTTTCCTGATGTGTACATGCATGGATTATAAAGCAGCACAACATTTTATTGTTTTCCATTTAGCAACACAGTTGTATGATATAAAACTATATCAAATAAATTTGATAATTATTGTCAAATTAATTTTTTTAATATTAATTACAACAATATAACATCAATTTCAAACATCTATCATATAATCTCTTTCCATAATATTAAATCCATTAATACATTTTTATTATTTCCACAATTTTCTTTGGAGGTGTGTAAATCCTAAATTTATAAATATTGCTTTTAAATATTTTTTGATCAATTTTTAATGAAAGGGAAATAAGATTTGAAATGAAATGTGATACATTTTTTCAGATTTTCCTTTGACAAGATTTTGATAGGACCCATCAGCGTCTCAAACGTGACATTTCTGACAGCAAATCTCCTTCCAACTTCTGCATAAAATGTCAGAGTCACTTTTGTGTCTTGCTAATTTGCCAGGAATATGCATATCAGTTACACATCTTGGCTCATGATACATATGTTTCTAAGATGTGCAGTTCATGGGTCATCATTGAAATGGTAATAGGGAAAAAAACAGACAACTTTATTTAGCTATGCTTAGCTGTGAATCATCTAAATATACTACCATAAAGCACTGTGGGACTAAATGTGCAAATATGCATTTGAGTATTCATCTTTGTCTTTTTTCTTTTCAGAGTGTGCACGTTTGCAAATGCAAAGTGTTTATTTGCATGTGTGAGTGTGTGATTGTGTGTGCCTTGAGACACAGTAACCCCTCCAAGATGACAGCTGAAAGGCAATATATAATTAGTCAAAAGACGTTTGGTCATAGTTGAGAGTGGCTGCATGAGTGGCAGCTGTGCAGGTGAGCAATAGGTAAGTGCATCTTAAATGTTAAAACGCTGTTTGCTGAATCTGTTGATGTGCCACTGTTTTGATGCAGCTCTGCATTTATTCAAATCAACTTAAGTTTAAAGGAACATGTGGCATATTTTGGGCAATTAAGATCACAATTTCAGATAATTGTTTTCTTCTTTTTTGCCACTTTCATAAATCATGTGAATGAATCCTTTGTAGACATTGCTGACATTGAATGGAAATTGGTAATGTGGTCTTTATTTGTGTTTATATTGCTTAAATTCAACAGGCTGAACTGATATTCGAACAGAATGTCAATCATCATCTTTTAATAAACCTTGAATCAATTGTGAATATGTTTATAGAAAATAGATCTAAATGCTTAAGTTGTCAAATAGAATTTGGGATTTTTGATCAAAGGATAATATGCAATAATAAATAATATTTAGAGGGTAAAAATATTTCAGTGTTTTATAATATCAGTTTTGAAAAGTATGAGAATCTGCGTCCTTGTTCATTTTGAGTATGTGCATTGTGCGGGTTCACCACCCTTGCAGTTTAAATAAAGACGACAGAACAAGATTTACACTCTGCCTCTGTGTGACTGTGTGACTGTGTGTGTGTGTGTGTGTGTGTGTGTGTGTGTACTCTGATGGAGGATCTATTGTAGGCCTAAGTCCACACCCGGCTTGAGAACAGCTGTGGGATGGTTGGAGTGGAGAGGCCAGGGTTTTTGGATTGAAATTTGTGCTCGATTGTGTGTTTGTGTTTAGGTGTGCATGTGTGTGTGTGTCAGTCACAATCTGGCTTTGGCCAGACACTGGTGCCATTCCCTGAGCCCACTCACTGACAGCCCAGCTTTGCATTAAACAGTGTTCCTTCCGCCTGACTTGGTGTCAATACTGTGGTTTCAGCTCTCGATGGCCCCTATGAGGGGCCCACCTCCTCACCCTGGGGGCCAGTCAGCCACCCACACTGGGGTCGGTTGGGCCCCTGATTAGCACCTCACCTGGTTCTCAGAGGAGCTGGCATCATCCCCCAGGAGCTCGTTGCGCACCTCATCACTGTAGGCAATACGTGACCTTTTCTGCAGAGGCATGAGGATGAGGAAGAAGGACAAAAAGAAGAAGAAGAGAAGGGAGAAACAGAGGAGAGTGAAAAGAGAAAACAAGAGGGGAAATATGGCTTAGTACTGTTGTTGATACAAAAACACAACAGACATTCCTTAAGCACGAGAGCCCCCTAATGGAACTCGGTGACAAACTGAGTCATACACATGCAGGTTGTGTGTATGCGTGCGAGTGTGTCTCTGTGTGCGTGTGTGTGTACCTCTACAACACATGTACTGACAACAAGCACGTCTGGGTTTGTGCCCATGCCTCCTTCCAAGGTGATCTACTGTACCTACTGCACTTGTGCCACAGAAGTGGTGGCAAAGAGCCCCCCACCCTGCCCACTTAAACAAATACAAGTTGAGGGATAAAAAACCTCATCTCGTGCGCATGGAGAGGCTGTGGAACAGGGGGATAGGGGAGAGGGCCAGGGAGATGTATTATGAGGAAGTATCACTTGTCAGCGCTAAATCTTTTCTGGGGGCTGTCACTGCTGTCATCCCAGTGCAGTGGCAGGCTCTGTGATAACACCAATGCTGAGACTCAGACAGGGAATAATTCATCACCCATTGGCGGCCCATCGGATTTGGGGTTGCCTCTCTCTCTCTTTTTCACACACACACACACACACACACACACACACACACACACACACACACACACACACACACACACACACACACACACACTTTCTCTCTCTTTCTCTGTCTCCAGATAGGCTAGAATAAGAGGGAATGCCATGTCCAAAAAAAAAAAAAAAAAACACACCCAAAAAGACAAACACTCAGACACACACATTTCATACACACTTCAGAGTGTGCCACCTCCGATTGTGGAAGAGTGGGCTGCCATTGTACCGCTTGTTTACAGACGCCCGACCCATGGAAAAACAGCCTCTTGGCATGCCCTCTAAACTAAATACACACCAGCAGCAGACACAGAAAGTGTTTACTAAGCCTCCTTCGCTTTCTCTCCCTGCCTTGACAGGGTTTCTAGGTGGGCTGCAGGAGGTGGGCAAAATCAAAGACAAACACCAGCATAGGAATGAAAATATCACTTTTTCTCAACACGAATTCTTTCTATTTTTCTATATTTACTTAGTCCTCCACTCTAAATAAATAAAACAAAGACATGGAATCAGTGAAGGAACACCAATTACCTGGTGGGGACATTTTTTTCCTCAAATACAGTATCCTTTCCCACTATCTTTCTATTATCAGTAAAAGTTTGAAGAAGCTATTGCATGAAGTACTTTGATGCTACCTTCCATGAGAAAAGCACAAACCAAACTTGAAAACGCCAATTCTAACCTCAAGACTGATGATATCAAGTTCCTTGATTGAAATAACTTTGGAACCAATCACGATCGAGCCAGTTGATTTTTTTTTTTTTTTTTTTTTTTTTTTTTTTTTTTTTTTATTTGTCTCTCCTCATAATCTGGAGCACTGAGTGGAAAGTCATGGCTGATGTGATTTGGCTGTTATTATCGTGATGGTGAGGGCCACAGTTCTCTGGAGTAATTACTGACTAGACGGAGGGCCTGATTGACCCAGACCACAAAACCCATTAGATAAAGAGTGCACCCAAACAATACTCAACCACGGGGACCTAAGCTAACCACAGAACGCCTACTGTGTGTAAAAGAGAATATCGGCAGCACAGAGCCAAATAAAACACAAACCCCCCACACACGCACGCACACACACACACACACACACACACACACACACACACACACATTACACAGGAGCACAATGTCAAAATGTGCTGTTCAAGATGTTTTTACAATTGTTTTGTATTTCTGTCATTCAACACTTGCTCAATTTTTGACTTTTAAGTGTGTGATAATTGTTACAACTCTGAATTATATGACAGCAAATTCCAAAACATCCAGAAAAAACAATGTAAACTGATTTAATTTTTTAAATCTCACAAGTCAATTAGCTTCCTCAACACTTAATGACGAAAATAAATGCCACAGATATGGTGCTCAGTGGCAAATATATGTGACATAAATATACAAAATATAATAATTTTTGCTTTGTTTCTTTACTCTGAATCCTTAAAGCCTTTGCTGAAATGTCAAAGGAAAATGCATATGTATATTAAAAATTGTCAGTGATCACATTTGGTTGTTCAAACTAACTCTTTTTAAAGTTGACTTTAACTTCAGTTGTAATGTCAACAATGTTTTTAATGCAATATCTTCTGCGTATGTGTAAATAAGTGGTCACTGTGCTACTGTCAGGACAAACAAAGCAATTTCAGATTTGAGTAAAACCAGAAAGACAATAAGCATCAATCTGAAGACAGCATGTACATTTGTACACGAGGCACGCACACGCACACACACACATTTTTTGCCAGGAAAACACCCACATATTTCATTTAAGTCGAGTTACATCTTAAAGAGCTGCAGTGCAACTTAGGGGGAAAGACGACTTCACCAGTAATTGAGACGAGGAAGCCTGGGAGAAGCACTGATTTGAATGTTAAGGCTTACGTCGCCTTCAAACCATATGCAGGGTTTTTTGGTATTTCTAAATAGCTGTTTGTTACAGATGAATGTATGAAGCATATCTGCAATGAGAACAGAGTAGATAACAAAGAAAGTATAAAGAATGGAGAATGTCATTGAAATGAAAGTGTTGCCGCTTCTTCCCCTGTACAGTATACACTCCAGTTTTTGGATTCCCCCTCTGGAAAACAACTGATTCCTGAATGATTACTGCCATCCCATTTGATGTAAAACATAAACAGCTGTGCAATATTACCTGCTTTATACAGTAACAGATTTTTATTATAAGTTAGGATGTTAAGCAAAAAATTGTTAAGTGCCAACAGGATCACTCTTGAGGTCAGGAAAGCAGATATCAGGTATCTGTTCTATATTAACATCTTGTATTTTATAAAGAAAATTCACTGAAACTGCCTCATTCTAGTTACAGCATGTGGAGACTAAGCTCTGCATCTTAAGACGAAACCAACTAATCAGACTTTGTAACACAAAAAAGAATGAGAGCTTTCAGAAGATACCTTATTGCTCAGAAAAGAAAAAAAGAGCTTTTTTTAATCCTTTTGAAAGGTCTGTCTTTTGTCACTTTTTTAATCTTGGGTGAGAATTTGCTTCTATTCCCGGAAGCACACATGAAAAGTACAAAGGTACATCTTAACTTTATGCAAAGTGGCCTGCCTTTAAAACTCTACGCATCCCGTCAAATGCGGCGATGGAGGTGCTGGTGTCCTGTCAAAAACACACGTTTTACCTCTGTTGACATGGATAGCAGACAAAAAAAAAAAAAAACGATTCTTCTTTACCCATCAAAATGTAATTACATATGCATGCATAACAATTCATATCAGATATGTTAATCAGTTTGGCATAATCCTCTGAACAGTAAATTATATTTATTTAATTATAACGGATATATGGATCTTTCCTTTGTGTGCAATTTCTTTCTAGTGTATGGGCATGAATACAAGAGTATATACTGTCTAAATAAATATGATGATTTCTAGGTCCTCCACAGTCCAGAAAGAAGAGTAAATCTAAAAAATATCCGTTTACAGAAAATGTATGAATAACTGTAAAACAATGACCTTTCCTCAATTCAAGCCGTTGACAATCGCCGTCTTTGTAATGTAAAGAAAAAGTTCCCTATTTACAAAAAAAAAAAAATCATAATAATTAAAATCAAATAAAGTGAGATTCATATACACATTCCAATGCCCTCCAACTCTCCTCCTTGCTTTTGCCCAGTGCAACGAGTGACACAAGGACAAGCGCAAATAATTGTGGCGCCTGGAAAGCTGAAAAATGTAAACAGTTCATTAGACGGGAAATAAAAGGTGTAAAAACACCCAGGGGCAGAGTGTAATGAGGGGCCCTGAAGTTCCTCTGCAGACGCTTTTTCCCTCCACTTTCCCAAGCTTTTCCTTTCCACCCTGCACACACGGCTGGTGGCATAGCATGGAGAGTAATTAACCATATTCAATTTACAATTCTATGTTCCATTACAGACATTTTCACCAGTAGGAGAGCGGCTGGGCACTTCCAAATTTAGACTTAATAACTCTTATGTCCAGCTCCATGTGCTTGCCTGAAACTGGCATCCAACCTTTTATTTTCCGAACTGTCATAGTCTCTCTATGAAGGTGGAAACATATCAGAACCACAATTTTAAAAGTAACTTTCAGATTGGCATAAACTTAAATATCTTATAAAATCTGAAAAATACAAAAGTCTCAAGTCACCATTGAAATGACAATAAAGTGGGGTAATAAAATGTCTCTGTGTTCACAAGAATGTGTGCTAAAATCAAAGGTTATCTATATCACTTCCTTTCCTCCCCCTGCTGTGATATTTTCCCAGGTGATGTGTGGACCAGTGCCAGCAGGTCCCGCTCTGCTTCCCCAAGTGGGGGCAGAGGTGGACTGATGCAGCATGGCGTTAAAAGGAAGCTGAGACCTTTAAGCAGGCACAAGTATCACAACAGCATCTTAAATAATGTATCTGTGCTTGGCAGGGGCTTAACACACACACACACACACACACACACATACACACACACACACACACACACACACACATACACACACACGCATGCAGCCAGCACAAATGAAAACACACACACACACACACACAAATTGTTGTCTAGCGTCTTCTACTCTTTAACACAAACAAATTGGGAGAGGTTGTTCAATTAAGTAAGCGCTCTTTTTTAATGCATTTGATATATTATCAGACAAAGACAAGCGGCTACAATTGGGATTTTCACAGGAGGGTGTCATTTGTGCCTTTTGTTTTACTTTGGTCTTTGGTGCAATCGAATCCTCCACTTCTGTCTGTTGTGTGTGTGTTTGTGTGAGTGCACACGTGTACACAAGGGCTACTGTATGTAAGACGGAGGCTTCTACGAGCCTTTGCATCCTGGGGAAGCCTCCTTTAGAGAACGTACGCATGCAACATATGTGA